ACTTTGCATGTTGGATAGGCAACATGCAAAAAGAAAAAAATGGCATGAGAAAAACATTGCTTTAGAAACCTTAAGACTTAATAAAAAAAAATGATAGTATTCATATGAAAGCATTGTAATGTTTACTGATAATCTACCAAATTTCATTGACATTCGCTTACTAATATAAAAGTTATAGCATGAAAACTATAACAAGCACAAAGTGGTTACGAGGTCGGTCCAGGGGACCAAGCCTGTGCTGAAAGATTTAAGCTCCCTTTATTCTCAAGAGCAACTAAGAAATTCTGCAGATAGAATATAAATGTCATTATTAATTATTTAAGATTGCAATAAAAGAAAAAAAATATTGAAGGCATCAGAGTAGGTTTTTATGGTTTTTAATTTTGTGTTCTTAGGATGGTCATGAAGAAGTGCGAAAAGTACCAATTCCAGCTAACCGTTATACTCCTCTAAAAGAAAACTGGATGAAGATTTTTACCCCAGTTGTAGAACACCTACACTTACAGATTCGTTTCAACCTTAAAACAAGAATGGTTGAAATTAGAGTGAGTATCATCAGTTGGATTGCTATGTAAAGTGTGCATTAAATAGAAATCTGTTTTTCTTATATCACAAAATATAGCTTGATATGTTCAATAAGAGTCACTGTGGTAAATGAAAGTTTGTTAGAACTCACTTGTAAGAGGACTTAATCTTTTTTACGTGAACATTTCTAAGATTTAAATGCATGTGGGTCTTTTCTAAAGTTTGTACGGAAATCAGTGACTAGTGTATGAAACATAAATCAAAACCATGTGTTTTTATTTTTGACTGATATGGAGAATTAATTATTGTATGAAAATATTTCATATTTATAGTAGGCTTGCATAAATTCGATATGTATTTCATTATTCCTTTTGTTACCCATTTCTGTTTGTTTTGGAGGAAGAATAGTTATGCCCAACAGGTACTTTCTACTGGTCATTTGTTATTCTACAAGCAGTATTTCTATTTCCATTACCTCAAACTCGATATGTGAACTTTTAAATAAATTTAATGAGACACCTTTATTTAGTATCACAAGTCCTCTCAGCTATAATAAGTTCCTAAGAGGCAAGTAGTAGAAATTATTACAACTACCTTTTAGGTACTTTATTTCTAATTGTGTTTAGTTGTACTGTCTACAGGCTTGATAATGACTTTTTAATTTTTATAGTAATTTGGCTAATCCAGTTTGAAGATATGGAGCTAAACTTGAATATCCTGTACTGTAGCCATATTAAACAGTGAAATTGTGAATGTTATGTGAAACGAGAGAAGACTAATATGAGTTGTTTAAATTTGTATTTTTTTCTTATATAAAGACTCATACAGTCACCTAATTATTTCCCATTATTTGCACTAACTAATACATGTCATCTTATCATGAAATTCATAATTTTTATCTTTTTTACAGTACATTTCCCAAATAATTAAGTCAGATGCTTAGCATCTGTACCTACCTTTAGTTAGTTTTTACATAATATTTTATAGTTATTGCAAAAAAATATTAAAAGTAAACACAATTTAGTTTAGCTTGCCAACACCAGTCAACAATAAAATAGAGGGCTGTCATCATCAGCATCCTGAATATGTACTATCTTGTATGTATATTGCCACTTCTTTACTAGTTCACTATGATTGGACACCTTTCTATTAGTGTCATGCTCAGATATTCATTTTTATTTATTTTTTCAATGTCACAACCGTCTGTTTTCTTTTCACTTGCATTGCCAAGCCATTTTTATTACCCTCCTCCCTCTGCTTAATGTAAGAACAAAACAAAGTTCCATTCACTACAGCATGGAATAATATAATATCCATTAGTCTGCTTCTCATAATGATACAATGCATGAAAGTTTTTTTTTAAGTGTGCATATACTAATACATTATGGGAAAAGTAAGTTGACAAATTTGTTTCATTTCTAATTTTTTCTAAATTTATATGAAACATTTTAAGTCCTGTGTCTAACAATGCTAAAAGAAGAGCCTTCCACCAAGTTCTACAATATCATATCTGTAATGATGACATGCATATTGTACACAAGTGAAGTATCTTGATATTAGTACTGAACTACTTCGTACGTGAACATAAAATATATTCCTTTTGAAATGTTCTGGTTTTAGTTGTTCTTTTTCAGTTGTCTAATATAATATGCTGTGTTTTAAGCACAACATGAATTTAACTAAATGAAAAAAACCCATGTTAAGTCTAACATTTGAGATCCCACAACAAAATTCCATAACTTGATAAAAAAAACATGTTTATCAATGTATAACTTTGTCACCTGAACAAAAATAAAGTTTGATTCTTTCCAATTTTTGTCCACCCCATTTTTATACTTTTGAACTAATTTCACAAAATGAAACTTTTAATAGTCGAAACAAAAAGTATAGAAGGAATCAGAGAGTATGGTAAACATTTTCCAAACCACCAAAATCTTGTGCAGACTGTAAAAAAAGTTGGGGTAATGTTTTGCATCATACAACAACAACAAAAACTTGTTCATTGATTGAAAATCGAAATTTTCACTTTTTGTCATACGTTTTCTACTGGAGCTGCTTTAACCCCATTTTCAAGGTTTGATTATTTAATATTTAATAAAATCATGTCCAGCTTACTAAAAAAAATGAGTAGTTGGACGAAGATAAAACACTTCCCATGAAAGATTGATATGCATACAATGAAATTCTGTTTTTTGTTTTAAATCATTTTTAAAACTTTTTTATTTTGTTTTTTCACATTTATAGACGTGCAAGAACACAACAGACATTAGTGCTTTACAGAAAGCAGCTGATTTTGTTAAAGCGTTTGCTTTGGGATTTGAAGTTGAAGTGAGTAATCATATTTTCTTATTTTTATCACGCTGCTTTATTTACATACAGCAGTTTAATTTATATGTGTAATAATCATGCCAGGTAACAGAATGTAATCCAGTCTATTTACCCAACTCAAAAATAACTTGACTAAGTGACAAAAAGGAAAAGTTGTTAAACTGTTTTCATTGTTTGTGATGTGAATCCTTTATAATTGTTTTAAGTATAATGTGTAAGAAGTAAATATACATGTTTTGCAAAAAGAGACTTCAAATGAAGACTTAATAAGTTCATGTAGTTTGAATCTTAAAACCCACAGGTAAAATATAAATCTGTGATATTTTACTTATAATGTCATTTATAACTTTTTTATTAGTTTTAATTTTTATTACAAGAATATATTTCTTTATTTTTTAGGATGCATTAGCACTTGTAAGATTAGATGAGCTTTTTCTGGAATCTTTTGAAATCAAGGATGGTAAGAAATATTATATTAACTCTTTCGACACGGGCTCGATCCCTGAGACCGACCTCATAACTATAAACTCATTATAGTTTACTTACTAATAACTTTTAATATTTTAAGTGTATCTTTACAAAATTTTGTAGACTTATAGTAAACATTAGAAGCCTTTGACACACAAAAAAATCAGATATTTTAATGAAGTATTTCTGTGAAAATATAGATTCTTTTTTTTTAATTAGTCTGAGTGCAAAGTGATTTTCATGTCAAAATTAAAAATACTTTTCATCATCTAAAAAATCTCATTTCCTTTTATGTAATACATAAAACCTCCTAAATGCATTTCAAACGTTTTTTCACTAAATCCTTATAGTTTTTGTTATTTTCTCTACCCTATCTCAAAACAGTATTGGTCAATTCGACCAACCTCGTAACCACCAAAAAAAATTGAAATAAACCTAAATTAAGCTTATTTTCTTTCTAGAATAACTTCAAATTGTAACCTGAAACTACATTCGTTTATCCTAAGTAGCTCTAAGTTCGTAGCATTGTACATCTATTTGTAATTAAATTTTAATGTTTTATTGCCCTTCTAACTGTGTCTAACTGCTATTCCTGCCATAAAAGTTGTATCACTTGGGGAATGTGCAGCTCATGTTATGCTATCAAATTACATTACCCACGAGATGCTTGTGTGCGTGCCTCATAAACCAGTTTAATTATATTATTACTGTTACTTATTTTACCTAATCTAGTCTTAAATAACTTTAAAAGATCCATAATTTTAATTTTATTTACTTTTATAATAATAAATAAAGAATAAATATGAAAAACAAGAAATAATACTTCCACAATCTTCTTTTTTTCTTGCCCTCAATTGCAAGGACAGTTGAGCCTGATTTTTTTTAGTGATTATAGTAAAGCATCAAACGATTTATATTAAATTAAATAATACACCAAAGAATATAAACTGATAACATACAAAAAGTAGATAAATTCACTTATCTTTCAAAATTTTCCTGGCTTTCTAACAATGCGACAAAAGCCGTTACAAATTCTTCAAAGCTAGTCATTAACTTTCCCACGGGAATGAATCTTGTACCGTGAGTGACAATATTCGTTCAAAATACAACCTTATACAATACACCATTTGATAGATGAAAACCTTGACTTTCTATTGGTTATAAATAATATATAATTAAAACGTAAGAGAGAACTATCAACCAATTGTGAAAGAGAGGATGTGGCAGAAGGGGTTCTGATTTTCTCTTTGATAGCTCTGTAACAAAACAAACTTGAAGGCCATAAAAATTATGGTGTGTTTAAGCAATAACGATTTTATAGAGAGCATTTTACATTTAATTTCATACATTTTCGAGAGGTGATGGATAAAATAGGGATGATGACATGCTAAGACAAAATTTATCATGTGTGTTACACTAGTAGAAATTCAGGATTTTTTTATATATTTTCTTTTAGAATTAAGAACTTAAAACTTGTATATTATTAAAATATGGATTATTAGCTAAGATTTTATGCTATTCTAATTGGTATAACATAAACAAAAAATAGTTTAATAAAATTTTGAATGTAAGACACTAAAACCTTGTGTCATGCGCAGTAAAGAATACCCGTGCGATAGGGTTAAAACACTGTATTTAATGAAGTGCGTTATAATTTTAGCACATGATTACCTTTATTATTATTTGTTTCTTGTTGCTGGTGGGCAAACTTCACAACTGTGTTTTATAGTATCATCTGCAGTTAGTATATTTTTCTTCGCTTATATCATAATTTGTTTACTTCAATTGAGAATCTCTTAACAATCTTGAGTTTAGTATATGGCAGTTTTAAGATATCTCATATTTAGCATTGATACTAGCTGTGTTATGAAATAGCTTGTGTGCGTGTTTGCCCACAACAAAAGTATTTTCATGGTGATTGGGTATGCCCCAAAGGGATTTCAAAACCCCTTACTTTATCCATTTTCTTAATTTTATGACTTTGACTAGCATTTAAATATTCCTCCCATACTGCTGTCTTGGTGTCAGCAAATAACACACACACATACACCATCCAGACAAAGTCAGTGCAATGAATACTGGGCCTGGTGTAGGTACCTTTGCCAGTAAACTTAATGAGCTTAAGCTGATGGATGTTGACAACTAAGTATTTGTGGTACATGTTATTCTAGGCTGTATAAATGTTAAGCTTATTTCACTTGTGTGTCTTAGCAACTATGAGTTGCACCTATTTTTAGAAATATTGGTTTTTATATCTATGTTACTCACAGTTCAGAGTACTAATTTATTAACTCTCTCACAACGAGCTTGTTTATTTTACACGACCTCATAAGCACCATAAAACTGTGAAGGTATATGTACTATAATTCTGAAAGTTCTCAATGTATCATAATGAAATTTGGCAAGCTTTACATAATAATTACAAGTTTTTCTGCACACAGTCATATATTTTAATTATTTTTACTAAAAATTTGTCCATGAATTTGTGGAGCCGGAGTGTTGACTGCTCTGAGTGCAAAGTGATTTTCATGTTAAGATTAAAAATAGTTTTCTGTATCTGAAAACTGTGAAATTTCATTTGTATAATCTATAAAACCTCCTAAGTAAATATCAAACATTTTTCTCAGTAAAACTTTATATTTTAGCTGTTATTTTCTCTACCCTAACTCTCTACATTTGGTCAATTTGACCAACCTCATAACTGCCATAAAAATACGAAGTAAATCTAAATTACTCCTTTTCTTTTCTTTTTAGAATGATTGCAGATTGTAACATAAAACTACAATAGTTTATCTTAAATAGCTTAAAGCTCTTAACAGTCTATCTGTTTATACTTAATTTTATTGTTTTATTTCTCATTGATCCATGTCTAACTAAAATCCCACCACACAAGTTGTAATAAATAACAACCCTATAACCCGACCACTTTCGAAAGGTGGACCTTTCTTCTTCAGTTTGCTCTTGAAGAAGAAAGGTCCACCTTTCGAAAGCATTCGGATTATAGGGTTGTTATTCATTTCTATCAAGACTTCTTGAACCTATATGTTTTTCTAACATCATGAATATACCTTGAAGTAACATTATTTAACCCTTTCCCCCCCGGAGTAGGTTAAAGTGCACGTATCACGTTTTGGAGGGTATTTTCAAAATTTTATTAAATAACATTTTTACTAATTACATCAATCAAATTGGCATGAAAACATAGTTTATGATTTAAATTTTAATATTATATATATTTTAATTTCTTAATTTAAAAGGAAATGTAAAGAAAAAAATGTTAAATATTGATTTTGTGTCACATAACACGTCCAGTTGTCTTATTGTTCAGTTGCCATTTTATTATGCCCACAATATGTATAAGTAGCTAACGAATTAGAAACTCGAATTTGAAATATAGACAAGCTAAATATAAAATAAGAACCTCCTTCCTTTATGATTTGCTGAGATAATATTTTTAGCAAGTCTACTAGAGTGGCTCCTCCCACTGCACCAATCTTTTGAAAGCCTTTATCTAGTCCCATCTACTACTAATTACCTACTGCTTATAACCAATAGAAAGAACATTTTCACCCCTACGTAACTCTGACAGTTGTTTATAAATAGCTTGAAGGAGAAAATAATAATTTTGCCAAAACCATTATAGTGTGATGATTTCGTCATTGCTCTGAACAGGAATGGAATTTTTTAACCAACATACAGTTTATTTAGAGACCCAACTAAATTACAGGGATTTTGAGT